CGCACGGCCTACCGGTGCATTAGCTGATCCGATGGTACGCATCGAAAAGGACAACATTACTACCGGTGCGCTGATTCAAAGTGAAATCACACGAGCTATTTCGGGCGCAACATCTCCCGTCAAATGTGACATGTGGAAATAACGACCAATACAGGAAGCTGTCATCAATAAAATATCTAGGATACATGGCAGATACATGATATAGCACAATACTGACGTGTAAACTATGTATATGTATACGTTATATATATTATATTTCTATACATATATGGTTTCAAAGGAACCGATCATTGTCAATGTAACGCTATCATTTGTGACAATTCACCGGTGTTACGCGATATCTGCACAACGACGGAAAGCGGGGGATACCAGTACCAATCATTGCCAACTGGCGTCCTATATTTGCCCACTGATGTGAAGTAAAGGTCAGAACCTCCACTGCCAGCCTCCGACTGGTCTCCCTCTTAACTTCTCACCCTCCAAAGCTGCTCTGATCTGCTCAGCTTACGGACCTAACCGTACAGCCGGCAGCTTCTGTCAGCCGCTCGAGTCCAGACAATCATTCAAAGAACGGCTTCAGTTGACGTCCGGAGGCCACCCAATATCCCACGTCGATGCTCCTCGCCGCGGCCTTTAACTCGGCACCCTCCAGCACTCCCTAAACGACGCGAGGCGGCCGACCGGGCGGCTCGGCGCCTTTTCTCGCGGCGCCTAACATGGTGCCGCGCGCGCGGCCGGCCGCTGCTGGCGCCCGGGCCAGTGGCCGGCCGCGGGCGGCGCCGGCCGCCGCTCCACCCACCTGGCGATCCCCAGCGCCGCAGCAGCCGCTTCAGGCTGTTGTTGCGCCGCAGCGACGAGGCCTTGCACTCGGCCGGCTCCTCCATCGGTCGGCGGCGGCGGCGGCGACGGCGGCGGCGGCGGCCGGGCCGACGTCCCACCTGTTACACACCGAGCCGGCGGGCGCACGCAGCCCGCGGCGAGCGGTCGGCCGGCGCGGCGCACTGGCCGCCGGCGTCGACGCGCGTCGGCCGCGGCCGCCGGCGCGCCGCACCTCGCCCGGCCCAGCCGCCGGCCAGCCCGGGCCCACTCACTTAATTGCAAGCCGCAGAATGGGCCGCGCTGCCAGCGCGCCGCCGATCGCCGATAAAAATAGTCGCCGCTGCGGCAGGCCAGCTTTTGATTACGGCGAGGCACACCCGAGCGCGGCGGCTAATTAATTGACGCGGCCGCGGCGGACGCGGCGCGGCGCGGCGCGGCGCTGACCCGCGCGAGGTCAGGGGCGCTCCGGCGGCGGCCGGCGCGCCCGGCGTCGGCACCGAACACACTGGCGGCCGCGGCGCGCGCCCCGCCCGCCACCGCCGCACGGGCGCACGGCGAGAGGGCAAGGTCAGGCCGCCTCCGGGAGCGGCCGCCGCGGCCCGGCCCGCCCGCCGCCGCAGACGGACGCTGACCGTTCGCGCCCGCGCCCGCGCGTGGAGGAACAGCACGGGGCGTGGCACCAGCGCGCCACCCAAAAGCCGCCTTTCCAGAGCGCGCCCGGCGACGCCGGGTTGGCTGACGCTCTTTAAAAAAGCGATAGCGCGGAGAAACAAAACAAATTATGAAGTTGGCAGTGCTCGGCTGGGCGGGCGTTCCGGCTGGCACGGAGGCGCACACCCCGTGCGGGGCGGAAAGGGGGGGGGGGGGGGCGGGGGGATCGCCCGGCCGGGTTGCCGCCAACAGCGCCGGCCAGCCGCGACGGCGGGCGGGAACGGGGCCGCATGCCATCGATTCTGGAGACACCACCGCCCAATAAGATTTCATTTCGTCACGCTTCGGCCACCTCCATAAGTTAAATCGATGCGGCGGGAGGCTGCTCTGGCCGGCGTCAGCCGCGGGCCGGTCGCCGCCTGGGCCGAGTGCGAGCCGCACCCGAGGGGCGGCCGGCACACGGTCACACGGCGCGCGCACAGCTCCAGCCAGGCCAGCCTAACGGCGGCGGCGGCGGCGGCGGCGGCGGCGGCGGCGCCAGGCGCGCCAGCACGCCGCGCCGAGCGAGGATATGGTCCAACTCGGGTCACATACTGCTCCCGAGGGAGATATGAGACCTGGTCCTCCGTGACTGCAGTTTCACGGATGCACGATCGCTCCATTCTGCAACTGGACGACAGCCAACTTGCTCCAATGAATAGCCCAAACTATTGCACGTTAGAGTCAAGGCTGCGATTTTTAAAAGCCGCTGAATTGTACGGGGAACTTTAAATGCGCTTACAATAATAACGAGCAGAACGCTGCGCAGCACGTTGGTCTCAGGAGGGCCTCATCTCAGGCGGGGAGAGTTGTAATGCACACGGCTGTCGTCGAGTCCAGGCCCCGCCCACAGAATCACAGCCAGGAGCCGGCGCCTCCGTACTGGGCCCCTCTGCTCTGGTCGGTCACGTCTTATATTGCCAACGGCAACATGACAGGACGTTCGTTTCCGGCATTGAGAAAAGTCACGGTAAGAAAAAGGCTAACTGCAATGGGCCAAAACGACGCGACCATTTCTGAGCATTACGACGATAGGCTACTTGTTCGACGGTGCCATAACGGCGTCACTAAAAATGATAATGGCACGAATGTGTTCGTTCAGTGTGGAAAACAGATACTGGACACCACTGCTATTGGAAACAGAGCCAATCAAATAATGCCAGGGAGACATCCCATTAGAAGCGGGTGAAACTTTGCGCCGCCTTACCCACCAGTCACCTGCCCCACAACTGATCCTGGGCAAATGGGCAGAAAACGAGCCGGCATCCTCCCAAACCCCCCGGATCGGCGGCCGCCGTGGTGGGTGCGTGGATATTCCCGCCGCACCGATCCCCCGCCCCCCGCGAGGAACGACGGTCACCCCATCGTATCCAGCGACGCATTACCGCCGTGCGTGTGTGCACGTGTGTGTATGGACCATGGACAGAGCAGAGAAAGGGAACCATCAAGACAGGAAGAGTGAGGGAGGAAAAGAGACAGGTAGGGGAGAGACAGAGAAAGGGGAGGGGAACGGAGATGAGAGGAGGGAATGGGAGAGAGCGAGAAAAGAGAGAGAGAGAGAGAGAGAGAGAGGAGAGAGAGAGAGAGAGAGAGAGAGAGAGAGAGAGAGAGAGAGAGAGAGAGAGAGAGAGAGAGAGAGAGAGAGAGAGAGAGAGAGAGAGAGAGAGAGAGAGAGAGAGAGAGAGAGAGAGAGAGAGAGAGAGAGAGAGAGAGAGAGAGAGAGAGAGAGAGAGAGCAGCATGTAGCAGCGCGCGGTGGGGGCCGCGGCGGCCGACACGACCGTGATGGATCACCAGTGGCGGCGCGGGGCGCGTGCTGCGAACTGCCTCCAGGCCGGCGCCGGCCGCCAAACACGCGGCCTCTACCTATCATTTGGGGGGGGGGGAGGGGACGTCCGATCGGCGGCCGGCTGGCGGCGAGAGCCGAGACCGGCCGTTCGCTCGCTCCCCTCTCCTCTCGCACAATGCGCCGGCGCCGCGCCGCCACTCGCCGCAAACCGGCCCACAGCGGGCGGCGGGCGGAGCTGGTCGGGCGCGGCCCCGGCCCGGTCAGTCGCGCGGCCGCAGGACGGACGGCCGACCCTGACCCGGCTGACCACGGCCGGCCGCCGGGCGCGGGCGCGGCCGCAGCCTCGCGCCGCCGACGGCGCGGCTGGGCGCGGGTGCCCCGCCGGCCGACCGTTGCCGGGGCGGCGGCGCCGGGTGCGTGCCGTCGCCGCCGGTCGCTGCCATTTGCCCGCAATTGATCGCCGCCGGCGTATGTCGATCCGGCGGCGGCTTCCGAGACGCCGGCTGTGGTCCGGCCGATCAGCGAGGATTCGAGACTGCCGAGAGCACTGCCGGATTCGTGGAGTCGCCGCTGCTCGCCCGCCGCGCGGCAGCCGGCGTCGTCACGCATGACCGGCGAGTGGCAGGCGAATGGCACAAAACCCGGGTTCTCGCAAAATTCGCGTGCGGCAGACACACATCGGAGCGATCAGATTGCATCTTCAGGGTCGCGGGGAGTCAAAGATTGCCGGCGCAACTACGGCACAAAAAAGCGCCTCCCTCGCAGAGCCGGAAACACAGCAGCCCAGTTGAGAGGCACGGACACACTAGAGGACGTCACTTCTGCGCCCACTGTGCAGCCCGACCACGCAATCTGCTGGGCAAATAATCGGAGTCCCGTTGGTGGGTCGAGCCGGACGCGGCCGCTCGGAATCGTCCGAATCTCCAAGGACACGCGTTCACATACTGCCTGATCGGTGCCAGGTTCCAGAGGATCTCTGCCGGGGCCTGTCAGCTACGCGAAAAAAGGCGCGATGCACGCGATACAGCCAGCAAAAGCCCACGGAAATACCAAACAATGATGGCTTTGCAACGTAAACAGTTTTACGAGAAGTTATTCCGACGAAACGAGTACGAGACGCTATTCCAGTGAGACGGGTAAATAGCCTGGTCCAAGGCATACAACCATAGTGAAATGAGTAACTTCCGGTCAACATACAGTTTGGAGGCGTCAATATGCGGAGCATCAGGAACAGGGCGAGTCCTAGCCGCCTTCGCCCCACACCCTCCAAACGCCACGTTTCCAAACCCTGCCGGCGTGCGCCATTCGCCCAGCTATCCGAAGACCGGCGGATGTGGGCACATCAGCTAACGACGCATCCTACGCAGGGCCGCGACATCGCATCCCCTGAGGGACGAGAACCGCCGCGAGCAAAACAAGACCTGACCTGACCTGACCCAAAACCTGAAGCGGCCCGCACGCGCCCGCCCGGCTATGCGCACAGGCCAGAGTCGGGCTAGCGGTGAACACCGACCGGCTCCGCTGTCCCGCGGCCACCAGAGCGCCGCCAGTCCAGACGTCAGCACACACTCGGGCCGGCCAGCGAGGAGCGGCCTCTCACGGCTGTCTGAGCGTCCAACTCCGTGTCAACGCCGGACTCCACGTCAATGGCAGTGTGTAGTCACCGGCGCGCGAGCGGCTCGGTGCCGCCGCCGGGTACTCACCGGAGGCGCCTGGGTCCGTCTCCGGCGTCACCTGGTCGGGTGATTCGTCCCGAGACCGCTTCGATCTGTCGCCTGCAACGGACGTGGGTCGGTCAGACGCGCCGCCCGGCCCTCCGCTGACCGAGCTCCGATTAGAACCATTGAAGGACCTTCAGCGCTCGCCGGTTCTAGTCATAAAGACCAAAGGGCGATTACAACCGAACCCAAAGCGTTCATACATCCCAACCAATCCCTGGCCAGACTAGAAGTTTACGCCATTGGGGACCCTACCCAAATTCTGACCTCATCCTCACGCCATTGGGGACCCTACCCAAACCCTGACCTCATCCGGACTCTGGCCGGACAGTGCCCTGACTCTGCCCCCTCCCCCCTCCCGCCTGTGTTGGACGGAGAGCCGGCGAGCCGGGCGGTCCGCGCGGGACGCCCGCGAGAGCCGGACCTGTCCGACACGGAGCGCCACCGCCAGCGGCACGCTCTTCCCCAAGACCGGGACGGAGCGCCACCACCAGCGGCACACTCCTCCCCAGACCGGGACGGAGCGTCACCACCAGCGGCGCGCTCCTCCCCAGACCGGGACGGAGCGTCACCACCAGTGGCGCGCCCCTCCCCAGACCGGGACGGAGCGCCACCACCAGCGGCACGCTCCTCCCAGACCGGGACGGAGCGCCACCGCCAGCGGCACGCTCCTCCCCAGACCGGGACGGAGCGCCACCGCCAGCGGCACGCTCCTCCCCTGACCGAGACGGAGCGCCACCACCAGCGGCACGCTCCTCCCAGACCGGGACGGAGCGCCACCGCCAGCGGCGCGCTCCTGCCCAGACCGGGACGGAGCGCCACCACCAGCGGCACGCCCCTCCCCAGACCGGGACGGAGCGCCACCGCCAGCGGCGCGCTCCTCCCCAGACCGGGACGGAGCGCCACCACCAGCGGCACGCTCCTCCCCAGACCGGGACGGAGCGCCACCACCAGCGGCACGCTCCTCCCCAGACCGGGACGGAGCGCCACCACCAGCGGCGCACTCTTCCCCACACCGGGACGGAGCGCCACCGCCAGCGGCGCGCTCCTCCCCTGACCGAGACGGAGCGCCGGCGACGGCGCCGTCCGCGAACGGCTGAAAGGCCGCCGGACTGGCACGCAATGCGCTGCCAGCGGCGTCAGAGCGACACCGGCCGCCGGCGCTGCCGTCTGAGGCAGCGGACCCGCGCGCCATGCCCCGACAATGGCGCGTACTGTGACGCTCGACGTGTTTCAGAGGGGCGTTTCGTAGTGTTAACCCCCCTTCGCGAAGCCGCATTGAGCGTCGCATCACACAAAATGATACTGAGATAATCGGAATGGTTCGGGATACTATAATCCTTCCTGAACAAGCTCCCGTGACAATGTGAAAAGATAGAGCGTAACATCCAGGGGAACGAAACCAGCAAAGGAGACTGAGCACAGGTCAGTAACATAAGTGGCAGCAGCTAAACGACACTAAGCCTTACAATTCACTGGTTCTTGGTGAGAAGTGCTTAGCTGTTGCACACGGTGATGAGAGGCGGCTCGCAATGTGCCAGCCCAAACAGCCGCCTCCAAACCATAACATAAGATAAGACACGAAAGCAACGCCGCAATGAAGTCAGCGCGAAAAAGTAAAAGGGAATAGTCATTCAGATAAAAAACGCATACCTACAGGCGTGCATCCCAACCAAGCCAATCATAACCTGATAAACCTCAGCATACACACGAAACAGCGCCGAACAGAACAGAGCACCACGTGGTGACAGGCAGGCGAGTGAGGCGGTGTGGCGCGTGGCGCAGCGTGCTTCGCGACGCGTGGAGGGCGTGACGACGCCCCCGTCTGGCTGCGACGGTGCGAGCAAAGCGGGGTTGATCTCTCGGTGCCACGAGCGCGGCGAGGGCGCGGCCACCGAGGCTTACCCGCACTACCGGCTGCCGGGCTGGCCGGCGGAAAAATGATGAAAATCCCGTCTGAGCGGCACGGGGCGAGACCAGAGCCCGGTTAGACGGCCGGGCCAGCTCCGCGGGAGCGCGTTCATCGCTCCCACGCACGCATCCAAACAAAGGAGCACATAGGCAGACGCCACGTGACGACCGAAGGTGGTGACCGCCCTCCCCCCGAGCGCGTCACGCGCAAGGCGTCGCCGACCACTGGCCAGCGGTTCGGGCGGAGGCGCAACCTCTGACCGCTGCAGCGCCGCGGGCGTCGGCCGACCGACCCGCGGCGTGCGGGCGCACCTGGCGCCGGCCGCCGCCACCCCCGGGAGGGATTAACGCCGAGCCGGGACGGGCCCGCGAGAGGCCGGCCGCCGCCGCCGCCAGCTGGGCGCCGGCCGGCTGCTCGGCGGCCGCCGGCGGCGCCGGAGTCGGAGTCGGAGCCGGAGCCGGCGCTGCCCCGCTTTCGGCTGACAGTGCGGGCGGCCCGGCCGCTGACGGCTGTCGGCCAGTAATGGGCCGGAAAGCGCCGTCCCGCAGACACGTGCGGCCGACACGCCACGCACGGCCGCTGATGGCGCCGGCCACGTCACGTAGCCGACCTTAAGCACAATGCGATCAGCGCATGCAAATCGGCCGCTTCGAATCAGGAGCAGCGCGATCAATCGGCGCCAGCGGCACGCCGCGTCTGGCGGCGCCCGACCGGACGGGGACGGCGCGGCCGGCCGGGGGACGGCGCGAACGAGGCCAACCTGCTTGACGCGACATTGTCGCCAGTGAGTGCGCCAATCTGGCTCGCGTCTGAGCCTGGACGGCAGCGAGGTCGACCGCGCGCGCCACTGATGAGTCCTTCCAGAGAACTCCACAATGACTGCAGATAAACCGCGTTTTTCTCGTGCGCGCCAATGAGACGCGTCGTCAGCACGGCCTGCGTGGTCGCCAGCCCCCTCTATCACTCCTACGCCAGCATGCACGCTGTCAAAGTGGGCTTCCTTACTAAGCAGAAACCCGCGCCATACTCGCATCTCCATGACTTATTACGGAAGCAGCACACACTGCCGGGTGGGGACGGTCTCGGCCGGGCGACTGCAGGGCGCCCGGCTGGCTGCAGACGTCGCCACTCCGCTGACCCGGTCGGAGAGACGAACCATTGAGCGGCCGAGACCTGCGCTGCTCCAATCAGACAGCCAGTGTTGACCGTGTCTCCATGACAACGGCTGGCCTCCAGGATTATAGGACGGCATATTACGCAGGCTGGGGATAGTCCACCGACGGGCGGAAAGTACAGCGCACTGCGCCAGGACGTTGATAAAGGCAACGCGGAGGGGGGGGGGGGGGAGCACTGAAGTATTGCCCATAAGATCGGAGACCGCGCTTACCCACACTCCGCGCTTACTCACTCAAACACACCTCGCGCTCACCCGCTCAACCACTCATACATCTCGCACTCACCCATACCTTGCGATCATCCGCTCACCCGCTCACCCCCCCCCCCCCCACACACTTGGCGTTCACCCACTCACACACACCTCGCGCACTCCCGCTCACCCACATCCGGCGCTCGCCCGTTCATACACACACACACACCGCGCTCACAAAGCTCATAACGCATTCATTTCAGTCAGTGTGTGCTGCATGTAGGGCAGCGCATCTCAAAGTCAGCCCCGTCAGACAGCAGCATCGACCCACCTGATAACCAGCATCGGAAAACACATCGAGCACCAGCCGACGCACATGAGCACCACCCCGGGAATACAACACCGGCCCCTGCATACAGCCGAGCGCCGCTCCCCCCCCCCCCTCCCCTCCCTCCTGCCAAGCGGCCGGCCCACTCACTCTGTCCGAGGTTGAAGCTGCCGCCGGCCATCTTCTTGCGCTGCTCGGGCATGATCTTCTCCATGAGCTTGCTGATCTTGTCGCCGCCGCGGCGCGGGTTGGCGCCCACGCACTGCTCCTCCACCGTCCGCAGGCACAGCTTGTGTATGTTCATTTCGCAGTCTGGCGGCGGCCGGCGCGGTCGGATTAGCCGGGCATATCGGGAGGCGCCGGCCGAAAATGGACGGCCAACCGGTCCGACCTGTTCGTTACGTCTGGGACGCACAACACCGAATTTGTCCTGATGAGTCAGGCGGCAGCATGGATATGGCGCGGCCGCCACGCCAACAAAGCACGGCGAGGAAACAGCATGTTGTGTTTGCGGCGGGCGCGCCCCAGCCGACTCACTGACCCCACCGGACTCATTCATCTTCATTATCATGTGCAATATGCACACATACATACATACATACATACATATATATATATATATATATATATATATATATATATATATATATATATATAATGCAGTACTCCTTACGTGTGGTGCAATGCTCGATTAAAGCCAAAAGGCTAAATGTTACGAGATAGAAATGAAAATGCAGCTGTTATGAAAAAGCACACCAAGAAACGTAATAAAGACACTAACATCAGGTAAGTCGACCACTTTGTACTCAAACACTGCCTGTCACGTTGGTCCAGTCTTGACATAAACACAACACCGCTTTCGGAGGCTACGACAGACGGCAGGCAGCTCAGGAGGAGGCGGAACGACATCCAACCGCCCTGCACGACATGGGCAGCCGGGAAGTGGGCAGATCCAAAGCGCGCCCCTCCCCCCCCCCCCCCCATGTCGTCGCGTGCTTACCCACAATGGTATGACAAGAGAACAGCGGCCGAATCGCCCTCAGGACGCGGGAAAGCAGGCGGGGGGGGGGGGGGGGGTACAATTGGCCTCTGAAGACGCCACAGCCATCGCGGTGACCGTGCGTGACCTCTGCCGCGCCCGGCCAGCGACTCCACCACCGGTGACATGTGATCTCGAATCGCGCCCTCGAGACGGCCCGGCCGCGGCATCCGCCTTTTACGCGCGGCTGGGATGGCGGGCGGCGGTACCGCCCCAGCCTGCGGGGTAGTTCAAAATGTGAGAGAATATGGGGCTGGATAAGGAGTTTGAGAGTCTTGGGTGAGAGATAGTGACGCGTCCTAATATATACAAAACAGAACGGAGTTGTACTTAGTGCCTACCTTAGATATGTCATACTTCCAGGAGAGGGTACGGCTGATAGCAACTCCCAGCACTTTTATGAAGGGCGAGGGGGTTAATACGTAACTGGAGATGCTAAGAGGAAAGGATGGGTGCTCATGGTCTGCGGCATTCTGACAAGAACGGTAAATTGGTGGGGCTCATCTTCAAGGAATTGGCAATGAAGGAGAATTCGACCCGAGGACAATCACGTCCTGTCGCGATTTTCGGGCGGATAGGTGGTCGGAGTGGAGGGCGTCGAAGATCTGGGTACCGTACGCGTAAGCACCGGACGACGGATGGAAGGCCGCTTGTAAAGATGTTCAGGATTGGACCCGCCATGAACACTAACAGACACCATGAGGCAAGGCAAGTGATAGCGAACCACCTCACCCGCCAGCCGCCGCCGATCAGGGTAACCCCGAAGCCATCGCCGATCGCTGCCGCACTGCTGCAGCTGGTGAAAACGACGCCGTGGTTAGCGCTGTCAAGAGCTCGATCGAGGCCTGCGGAGGTGACGGCGACGACACAGACTGTGTCCACGCAAACCACCATCTGTTGCTCAGCGCTGACCACGGCTGCCCTCCTCCGTCGAGTGACACGAACTATACACATACTGCGGAGGGACGACGCCGTAGGCGCCGAGACGAACTCAGAACTACCCACGGACAACCTTTTCGCAAAATTCCACAACACGTGTGAAACTGACGCCGACCTTTGAGTGCTAGCGGGTCATGAAAACCTCGTTTATGAATGGGACGAAGTTAAACTTACTTCCACTAATATGTGAAAACATGCACGTGACGATAACGTGTTGAGTAGATAGAACAGCAACGAGGCCTACTGGCGCAATTTGATCTGAAGCAGCGGGGGAGGCGCACCATTTGGCGACCGATAGTCCACGTCAGGACTTCGGCCTGAATCTGCCAGACAGACAGCCGCCCGCCTCGGGACACGACCGGGTCCGCGTCGGCGGCGCGACGGACCAGCAGCTCCTGTCTCCCGTCGGACCGCCGCCGCCTGGTCCCGTCAGGCCCTGACCCGACCCGTGCCCGCCAGCGTGCCGGGCCACCCCGGGCCGCCTCCGCCCTGCGGACGTGACACCGGCCGGCCGCGCCGGGACCGGCGGTGGGCGCGTGACCGGCGGCGTCCGACCCGGCGCCGCTCGCGGGGAAGGCAGACGCCGCTCCGCGGCGAGCGGTGCCGCGTGCCGGTGCGGCGACCCGCCTCTGAGGCGCCCGCGCCGCCCGTCGGCCTAATCCAGTTCGCGGCGCGGCCGTCAGCCGGCCGCCGGCCCGTCTGACACACGTCTCCCGTGCCAATCAATAGCGGCCGTCGCCGCCCTGACGCGAGCGGCCGCGGTCGGGCCCGGGGCGCCCCGCCAGCCCTCCGCCCGGCCCGCCCCGTCCGATGACCGGCCCGCCCGGCCCGCCCCGTCCGATGACCGGGACGGGACGGGGAGCCGTTCTCAAAGAACTGCGCGCCGCACCGTCACCTGCGGCCGGCCGGAATCCGGCCCGCGCGGACACACGTTGCGAAGTTTGTCCGGGTGCCTGCGGCGCGCCGCGAGCTCGGGTCTATATTTGGGCCGGGCCGACACCGGGGCGGCGCCGGCCCCGGCTAACTGCCGACACCTGAACCTCTCGCTGGAAATGGAGCCCCGTGAGAGCCGTCACGTGCCGCGGATACTCGGTCCAGTCATCACACTCGGAGCGAGACCAAGCTGGGCGGAGTCGGCCGGCGGATACGGTCTGGCCGGGAGATCCCGTCCACCCGTCCATTGGCGGGCAGATTCGGCCGCCCGTTTGAAGGTGATGAGGTTCTGTCTAGCCGCCACGTGGCGTTGGGACTCGGTCACCAGTCACTGGGTGCTGACTGACGACGTGACCGTGACATAAATATTACGGGCGATTGTCACGTCGTGATGGGATACCATCCAGTCGTTACGCGGCAAGACCACGTCACATCGAACTTAATGGACAAGTGGTGATGAAATACATATCCGCAATCACGGACTAGCCTTTAACACGAAGAACACGACCACGCACATCCGTCGCAGGAAATAAATCTAAAAGCACCGTCCTGCTCTGCCCGGCTCAGCAGCCACACGTCCGCGACGACGGCCGACGCGCGGTCCACAGATGAGCCGCCCACATAACAGTGAGCTTCACACGCTGGTAACGGCGTCCCGGCAGCACGAACTAACTCCGTGCAATTACCGGGCTGTCACAGCTTGCTGTGCAGCTTACCAGAGAGCACGGTGCCTGCGTTACGTCTCTGCTGTCAGGCGGTGGGTTTCAGAAGCCTGGGGCTATCTTAAGGCCGCAGGCGCATCGATTCGGCGCGAGGCGCTAAGCTGATAAACCGCCGCTCAGTCCCGTTTTCCTCGATCAAATACATGGTCCGCTGTCCGCCAGCCTTGGTAAGTACCCTCGCTATCTCCATCTCTCAGTATCATCATCCGCAAAAAAGCATGTGCGGGATGGCAGGACGCGTCGACAAATTGTGGCTGGCGCAAGACAAGCCTGGCCGGGTGACAACGTGCCTCAATAGAATTACAAGGCAAACGCCATACGGGCAGTCAACGCTTTGTTTGAGCAGAGCGACCCGCGTCGCCATTCCTCTTGTATGGGGCACCAGCGCCTGCATTGGCCATACTAACACTTCAGAGTGATGGCGCAACCGCGATTCCAATAAACCTCCCCCCCCCCCCCCCCCACGTGAGCGCACAAGGCGCTGACTATTCGGCCATTGCGCGAGGGAAGACTGCAGTGACAGCAGGATTGGTCAGTAGGACTAGTAGAACTGCAGTGTCAGCCCAACCTGTGAGTTGAAATATTCCAGATTTGACGCAGGGCTTGTCGCAGAAAACACAATAGTATGCCCGGCCAGATACCGCTTCAGAGATCTGCATTTCAGTCAAGGCACCCCCCCCCCCCCCCTCCCCCGGCCCGAAGGAACGGCCGCCATAGCTCCCAATATGTACGCCCACAGGCCGCGCGTCACGGCCGCCCTGCGTGCGCTACACTCCAGCGACGCACGTACAAACGCGGCCGCGATGACACCGGACTGAGCCACGAACTGTTCTGCAAACGGACGGCACTCCTACCGGCTGACGGGTCTACTAACTATCCCGCCTATGGACCGAGCGGCCCACCCTGACAGACGGTCCGATCGCATCGAGGCGCGCGCCCTCTCGCGGGGCGCCGGCACCCTCCCGGCGCCACGGCCCTACATTGACTCAGGCGCGTCCCTCTCACGGAGCGCCAAAGTTCTCCCGGCGCCACGGCCCCAAAAGTGACTCAGGCGCGTCCCTCTCAAGGCGTCACGGCCCGACAATAACTCAGGCGCGTCCCTCTCACGGAGCGCCGGTGCTCTCCCGGCGCCACGGCCCCAAAAATTACTCGGACGCGCCCCTCTCGCGGCGCCATGACCGGACAGTGGCACAAGCACGCCCATCTCCTGGCGCCATGGCCCCAAAAGTGACTCAGGCACGTTCCTCTCGAGGCGCCACGGCCCGACAGTGACTCAGGCGCACCCATCTCACGGAGCGCCGGCGCTCTCCCGGCGCCACGGCCCGACAGTGACCCACGAGCGCACCTCCCACGGCGCCACGGCCTGACAGCGACCCAGTCGCGCCCCTCTCGCGGCGCCACGGCCCGACAGTGACTCAGGCGCACCCATCTCACGGAGCGCCGGCGCTCTCCCGGCGCCACGCCCCAACAGCGACTCACGAGCGCACTGGTAGCCCTGCGGACTGATGCCACGGATGGAGTCGCCGCACACGTTGCACGCCGTGACGATGTAGTATTGGTGCAGCTGGAACTGGTGGCCTCGGATCGCCGGCGGCTGGAACGGGTCCGCAGCGTCAGCCGGCGGCACGTGCGCGGCCGGAGGTCAGGTCAGCGGGCAGGACCGGCGACGGAGGCGGGCCGCTCTGACGTGACGTGGGGTCGGCTAAGATGGGCGGCGACGCGACGCCGCGGGCCATCATAGGGGCCGGTCAGCAAAGACGGCGAGAGGGAGTCAGACCGGTCACTCGTCACCGAACCCGCGCAGTGATGCCCGACCTCAGGATCGAGGCGCCGCATGGCCCTTGTGCTGCTCCATCGCCACAGCCGACGGAGAAGCGCTCGGCACAACACAAAACAGGCACACACAAACTGGGCAGCAGGTAGCGGTGTTCATACAAGCACCGAAATGGTTTCAGTACAAGACCACATCATGTCTTCTCCAGCGACAGTTACCAACCAGCAGCTCACGTTGCATTGCTGCTCCAGTGAACCAGGTGCTTTGTCAGCTTCCCGTTTGGACGTCGGGAGCGTCGTTACGTTCTCCATGGAAGAGATCAGCCTCTCCGTGCAGCCAACCATCAAATTACATTGCTTATTCAGCCTGCTGACCTTTCTGACCAACCTTTCAAATGCAGCATTGTCTAATGCGAAACAGATTCCTTCAGAAGCGTACGGCTAAAAGGTCGGCGGCAAAATCGCCTGGTCTGGAATTTCCAAGCTTGCCCTGCAGACCCAGCACAAACGCATAACACTGCTGAGCGGGTAGTTTAAGCTTGGGGATATTCCTTAACGAAGCGCTGCCGGGGTCTACCCCGGCGAGCAGAGTGAGAGAGCGCGGCCGCCGGCCGGCCCGACAGGTGGCGGGTCAGGTCAGAACATGGCTGGTCAGGCCGCTGACCTGCCGTCCACAGGCACCCGACGGCCGGCTCTCACGTGCGAGCTACGACAGGCCCGTGGTCCGCGCCACAAGCCAGGGCAGAATGGCCAGGCGGCCGAAGCTGGTGTGGGCCGCAGCCCATTGCCATTACTTGGGCGGCCATGTTTACCTGCTGACCACAAACTGCTTCGGACCCGATTCGAGAACATCCCACCAGGGCACCCATTCATTACCACGAAAAGGTCATGACCGTCAAGTGGAGAAACAACCCAAACACTGTTAAAACGATTCCTAAACAGGGCCAATAACCGTCACTACGGCATCTCAGGGACGGAAACCGACACCGCGCTGACCTCCCCACCAGCACAGGGCCAGCAATTAGCAACACAAGTTCATACGACTCAACGACACGGACGGCGCGGGATCCATCCGAGGCGGGAAAACTCATTCCACACAAACACCGCAAGGAGTCCCAGCAAACGCAGAGTAGCACCATCATAACAAGCGGGGGCTAGCCCGTGCCTCTCCGCTCGCCAACGGCAAAATCGTGCCGCTCACGCTCGGCGGCCGGCCACGCACCTTCTTATGCCGGTTGAGCAGTTTTGACTTGAAGGAGCGCTCCTTGGAGACGAACATGGGGCAGTTGTCGACGATCTGCTGCACGGACGGGCTGCGGTAGTTGAAGTGTTTGTGCAGGATGGTGGTGAGACTGGACGCCTGGGTCTGCGTCTGCTCCGTGGCGTTCTCCAGCTCCGACCTGCGGCGCAGGGCGGGCCGGCCGGCTCAGAGGGCAGCGGGCGCTCCGGCGGCGGCCGCCGCTGGCGTGGGAGCGGGCCGCGCGCGTCCCAGGCGGGCAGGACAACACACCGACCGGTGGTGTAGGAGCGGGCCGCACGCGCCCGAGGCGGGCAACACACCGACCGGTGGCATAGGAGCGGGCCGCACGCGCCCCAGGCGGGCAGGACAGCACACCGACCGGTGGCGTAGGAGCGGGTCGCACGCGCCCCAGGCGGGCAGGGCAACACACCTGACCGGTGATCACTCTCAGCCAGATCACGGCGCAAGCCGTCAGTGCGCACGGCTACCGTCGCCACTTAGACGCAGCGCGGCAGACGTCTCGCGCGTAAGTTACACGGATACACAGCGGCAGACCCAGTGCGCTCGTGAAGGAGGCGTTCGTCCCGTTCGTGAGACTCGTTGCCGAGTGCATAATCAGACGCTGACTCTCTGTGCAGACAGTAACGGTAAATGCTACACGCATAACGTCCACGGGAAGGAGCTGACCATCATGTGGTAAATCGTCACGCGTTGCAGCGCAACAACATCGACGGAAGCGCGCCAACATCTCGATATGGACATATCGGAGCTCGTAGAGATCCCCACGGTCTGACATTCCCCGTCTCCGGTTCGCCACGGCACTCACGACTGGTACACGGTCTCCAGCAGCTTGACCAGCACGTCCTCGATGATACGGCCCTCCTTCAGCTTGTCGTGGCGCGCCTCGTCCAGCTCCGAGTCGCGCGGGCCGAACATGGCGCCCAGGCCGGCCGTCCGCTTTCCGCGAAAGTCCGCCAGCTGGTCGTTGATGTCTTCGCGCGCCCGCGCTCGCGCCCGCTGGAATATCTGGGCAGGCCGCGATAGTGCGTCAGCAGGCCGCCAGAGGCGCTGGTGACTGTTGTACCAGACGGCACTGGTATTTGTGCTCGGCTGGCTCCGGGGGACGGTGCTGACGCGGACTTCCGATTGTTGTGGCCGGGGCTGACTCCAAACCAATTACAGAGCTAAAACATAACGGAGTATAGGGACTACATAAATATTTACTTATCTCTTGAGAGCTTTCACTGAAGCAAGGAGCATCAAATGTGTTAAAACACGCCAGCGTTAGGGGACAGCGTGATAAACGGCGATGATAACTTGGGCTTTTAGGACGCTGGCCACTATTATCATTCCGCTAAAATTACAAGGATTTCAGGAACATCACTTTTGATGACAACTATTTCTCAAATTACTACAAGTTGGAGCCGGCACCGATCACCACACCGACAAAATGACTGGCATCCATTCAGCGTCAGACGCCAGGCAAAAACAACAGACACACTGCGCCAATCATCAATCAGGTTGACAGCAGTCGCGGAGTGCCGCGCTCGCCACGGTCACGTGCCGAGGCAGAGACAAACAGACGTGAGCCAGCGGCCATGGTCGCGACCCTAGCCTGCCGCGCTGTACTGCCCATGGCAGGGGTCGAGGGGGCAACCCGCCGTCGGGACCGAGGGGAGGCGGCAGCAGAAGGGGCCGGAGGGAGGCGGCCGCGGCAGGGACCGAAGGGAGGCGGCCGCAGAAGGGGCCGGAGGGGGGCGGTCGCGGCAGGGACCGAAGGGAGGCGATTACGGCAGGGACCGAAGGGAGGCGACGGCAGCCACTAACCGTGCGCAGCTTCTCTTCTTTGTCCAGGTCATGTAGGAGGATCTCGTCTATCTTCAGCAGGGAGCCCTCTTCGATGCCACTCACCCGCATCACCTGAGGGGGCGGCGCCGGCGCATCCGGTCAGGCCACCCACTCAGAAAGATCGAGACGAGCTCGCTCTGGGACGGTGACGGACGAACTACTAAGCTGCACGATGAGTCTGCGCTGTCTGACAGCCAGCCAGTACACACACGAAACCGACACGGCCAGTCTGGCGATCACGAACACGTCAGCATTCACGGCCGCTGAACGAGCAGCAAGACCCATCAGTGTCGTAACGGAGTGTGTCCTTGGCAGGCGCGCGGACGGACAACATTCGTGGAAAGGCTACCAAAGCATTGCCTGGAATGCAACCACCACGTGCCTACTTCTTTCGGGCACACGCGATTCGGCCATCGCAAAAAAACGATAGCCGGCAGGGCTGGCCCACATGCCTCCGCCGGTGCAGCCCACGCACGTGACGGCCGAGGGGTGACCTCATGGACAGGTGACGCCGCAAGGACGGACGCACGTCCTTGTCCCAAGGACAGTGACAGGACCACGCACGGGCCAGGCGGACGCGGCAGGACGCGGGTCGACGGCGGTGCAACAGGCGGCTTCCCTGGCGCTGCAGGGACAGCAGGCTGCGCGTAGGCCGCGGGACTGGCGACGTGCGTTACGTCACAACAGAGGGAGACCACTGGTGAGCGCGGGGTCGGGGACGCTGCCAGTGACGTCATCTGACAGGCCGTGCGGGCCGGCCGGGTCTACTCACGGCATCCGGCACGAGGAAGCTGGAGTGAATCTCATACGCCCACCGGCGCATATCTTTCGCGTTGCCCTCTTTGTACAAATCACTGATTAAGTAGAAAAACTGGAAGAACGAGAAAAAGAGCGCGGTTACCGACAGCATTCTCGCGCGGCGGCACGTCACAGCGGCACGACTTCGGTCACTTGTGGCATGAAACCCGCACGTACGTGACCAAGGCCCTCCTGGCAAGCACGGCCCTGCACAAGAAAAACCTCCGCGGGCCGTCCGCGCAGCGACCATGGACGAGGCGGTGGGCAAAACAGCGCGCCGCGCGTCCCGTCCCGGGAACTGAGGGCCCGCGCGGAGCTGCCCGTCACACCCGGCGTCGGCCGGGCCGTCCTCCGATGGCGGACAGAGGCGAGCGGGTACTCACGAGGCTGGAGGGATCGCAGTTCGATATCACATAATTCATAAAGACGGCTAGGTGAGCGTGATCATGCAGCAGATTATTCAGACTGTTGAACGGCCCGTGGTCCTCCTGGCCCTGAAACCAAACCGTGGACGGTCAGTGACGTCGCCAGGCCAGGCGTCTCCGCTGATATCACGCATTCGGGGGACTGCGTTGGCACAGCGCAGATGCCATGACGAGTAGCGCGCAAGCGGCCGTCCACATCCCAGCACAATGACTCCACGATCCAACTTTTGGAGTCCAGCTCTATTTACAGACGCGCATCGGACGCCAAACACCTGAGTTGATAAAAGAAGACGGTCGCAACCCACCAACATCCGCAGACCGGCTCCGCCCAGCATCATACGCGACTCAGCTGCGCCGCGGACCGAAGACCTGTGCCCGAAGAGGTTCATATCCGCTTAATCGTTAGCACGCGACGCGCGGGCGCGCGGCTGGCCCGCGGACGGGGCCGGCGGGCGGCACGGCGCGGCCGCGATCGACACTCACACACTCCTGCTCCGAGAGATCGTCGTCCTCAATCGACATGATGTACGGCTGGTTGACGCGCGGCAGCATGCTGGGACTGGAGCCGGACGTGTCCGTCGCCGACACCTAGCGGGCAGTCGGGCAGAGTGAGGTTACGGCGCCGGCGCCAGGGGCGGCCCGGGCAGCCGGCCTCAGAGGACGGAGACAGCAGGTGCGCCATGAGAAGCTGCGCCATCACGCTCTGTAGCCCGTAAAGCAAACAGCACACGACACGGCATAAAAAGGCAAGCGTTATCAAGCCACCACAAAGACACAAGGCGACAACCAGTCACAGCACACAGCTGAGCATCATCTGGGCGCAACGTCAAGAGACAGTCGCGCCGTCACGTGGACAGCTGAGCTCCAATCGAGCTCCTGAGTCATCGACGGTGCCCTGGCGCTCGTCGTGTCGCGGTGGGCGGTCGTGCCCGCATCGGACCGGAGGTGCGGGAGTGTGGTCAGGTCAGGACGGGCCGGGCCGAGCGTGACTAGGCATGACCCCGGCGGCGGCCGTGCGCCGGAATAGGCCGTGACGCCGGGTTAAGCCGGTCGGCGCCGGACGATTGTCTGGCGGCGGCCGGCCGTCACGTAGCGGGCGGCGGCGCTGCGGCCGCACGGAGAACAGCGGCCGGCCGCCCCCGCCCCTCCCCGTCCGCGCCCGACGCCCCCGGCCGTAGAGCAGGCCGGGCCGGCTGCGAGGGCGGCGAGGGTCGGACCGCACCCGACACACCCGGCGCGCGGGAGCACGCCCACCGGACAGCCGGCGTCGAGGCTGGCGTGACGGCGGCGACCGTGACGTCAGCGCCGGCACAGGCCGCCGCACAGGACGGGAGCGGCAGGGGTGACGTCAACGCCACGGCCAGGCCCGGGGATGCGGTGGCGGACAGGCTGCGGTGAAAAGGGTCTCCCGTAGGGTCTGGTGACAGGTCCGGTGAGATGGGTTGGGTAGGAACGGTCTGGTGACGAGGGTCCGGTGCGATAGGTCTGATGCGATTGGTCCAGACCGCGCTACATGGCATGGGGAGGGGGGGGGGACTTCGCTTCGCAATCACTCGGGTGTTTGCCATCGACCATCGTTCAGCAGCGATACTATTCGGGGAAATACAGCTTACTCGCGACCGTTGTTTATCACCAACGCCATTTCTTAAGATACAGCACCAGTTGTAACTTAAAGGAGGTGTTTCACATTCGTATGGGATTTTGAACTGTAACAGCCATCTTGGAGATGATTCGGTGTAGTCTGCAGGCCTTCCCCCTTCTTAAGACTCAAATCGCTCCAGTTTCTGAGCTACACGCCCGCAACGATGCGCAGACTATTTCGGGACGACTATTTCAAGGCCACCCATGCATGCACGACGCCATTCAAGTCTTGCCATTCCACTAACCATGCGACGACCAAGCAAATAAAAAATTAACAGTCGAGTCGTTCATATCTGACATTCATGAGCATGATTTCCAGACAAGATGGCCGTCAACTGACCTATTCAACTGTTGTGCAGGGTACGTTGACGTATTCAAACAATACTAAACAGAGAAATTGTGCTGTCTAGACCAGCCTTTTCCGCTTTTTAGTATAACAGTAGTTAAAGGGAGCCTATTTTATCAGATGCGATGCTTGCTTCAACATCTCAAACACAGGACATTCCCAGACAACTTCCGTCCTGCTCAGTGGACAGGCAATAGTTCCCAGGCTATATCAGATCTGATACTTGCTTCAACATCTCAAACATGGGACATTCCCAGACAACTTCCGTCCTGTTCAGTGGACAGGCAATAGTTCCCAGGCTATATCAGATCTGATACTTGCATTCAACATCTCAAACACGGGACATTCCCAGACAACTTCCGTCCTGCTCAGTGGACAGGCAATAGTTCCCAGGCTATATCAGATCTGATACTTGCTTCAACATCTCAAACACGGGACATTCCCAAACGACTTCCGTCCTGCTCAGTGGACAGGCAATAGTTGCCGGGCTAAATCAGTTAATTAAAGTTTGATCTGAACAAAGAAGAGTGCGGGCAGACCAAAAACTTCTCCACAGTTTCGTCACTCAACATCCGTATCTACCGCAAACTTAACTACATACAAATGCCCGCAGTGCTGTACGAATGACATTCACCAAAAGTCCGCCAAAACGCAGACCGGTTCTGTAACGCCCGCAGCGGCTAATAACGCACCGCAAAGCGAATTAAAGGTCAGTGCGGGAAACGTGGATTGTTCGGGCCCAGCTAGGCTGCACAAGACCCCATTGTTGGCCGCGCACGGTCAGGTCTCCGCCGGGGACGCCGGTGCACGGCTGGAAACAAGGCCAGGCCGTGCAGCCGTGGACGGCGGCAGTCCGGCACATGCGGGGCAGTGCTGTAACAGCCCGCGCTGAACTGTTCAGCTGATCGCCCGGCAGCAAGCGCGCCTAGGTCGCCGGCTGTCTGGCTCTGGCCGTCCGGCACACGGCCGGAAGTGATGAGCACGTCGGACACATCCTGACACGGAGCAGCGCCGCCGCCGGGCGATGGAGAGTGCTGTAGGCAGCGGCGACAGGACCGGGCCGGGTAGAGGGTGGAGAGTGCTGCAGGCAGCGGCGACAGGACCGGGCCGGGCACTAGGGTGGAAAGTGCTCCAGGCAGCGGCGACAGGACCGGGTCGGGCACTAGGATGGAGAGTGCTCCAGGCAGCGGCGACTGGACCGGGCCGGGCACTAGGGTGGAGAGTGCTGCCGGCAGCGGCGACAGGACCGGGCGGGCAGAGGGGTGGAGAGTGCTGCAGGTCAAGCGGCGACAGGACCGGGCCGGGCGACTAGTGGTGGAGAGTGCTGCGGCAGCGGCGAACAGGACCGGGCCGGGCCGAGAGGAGTGGAGAGTGCTGCAGGCAGCGGCGACAGGACCGGGCCGGGCAGAGGGTGGAGAGTGCTGCAGGCAGCGGCGACAGGATCGGGCCGGGCACTAGGGTGGAGAGCGCTGCAGGCAGCGGCGACAGGACTGGGCCGGGCACTAGGGTGGAGAGTGCTGCAGGCAGCGGCGACAGGGCCGGGCCGGGCACTAGGGTGGAGAGTGCTGCAGGCAGCGGCGACAGGACCGGGCCGGGCACTAGGGTGGAGAGCGCTCCAGGCAGCGGCGACAGGGCCGGGCCGGGCACTAGGGTGGAGAGTGCTGTAGGCAGCGGCGACAGGACCGGGCCGGGTAGAGGGTGGAGAGTGCTGCCGGCAGCGGCGACAGGACCGGGCCGGGCAGAGGGTGGAGAGTGCTGCAGGCAGCGGCGACAGGACCGAGCCGGGCACTAGGGTGGAGAGTGCTGCAGGCAGCGGCGACAGGACCGGGCCCGGCAGAGGGTGGAGAGTGCTGCAGGCAGCGGCGACAGGATCGGGCCGGGCACTAGGGTGGAGAGCGCTGCAGGCAGCGGCGACAGGACTGGGCCGGGCACTAGGGTGGAGAGTGCTGCAGGCAGCGGCGACAGGGCCGGGCCGGGCACTAGGGTGGAGAGTGCGGCAGGCAGCGGCGACTGGACCGGGCCGGGCACTAGGGTGGAGAGTGCTCCAGGCAGCGGCGACAGAGCCGGGCCGGGCACTAGGATGGCTGCCAACTCTGGTGAGGCCACGGCCGGGTGTCGCTGCAGCCGCGGCGGCGCGAGGGCGGTGCAGTCACCGGCGCCCTATTTGGACCCGTTAACAAGTGCTTATGAGGGGGCGGAGGTGTTCGATCGCTCTGGCCGATGGTCCGGAATGGGGCACCCCGTGACCGTCCTCGGCCGCTGCAGCCAGCGCCTGTTTAATGTCAGCGGCGGCGCTAAATGCCATGTCGGGCGGTGCACACGGTGATCCGGGTCACGTGGGGGACCATGGCAGGCGCCCATGGCAGGACTCGGACCAGCCGACGGACGGCGAGGGGCGGCCAGACCCTGACTACAGAAGCCAGCCCCTCAGGTCCTGGCCATGTATCCGATCGGATCCGAGTCGATCGGATCGCATGGGATAGGAAGGGGTAGGAACAGCTGGCGACGGACTACGCCACCTCAACGCCTTGCTACAAATCGGACCGGCGCTGTAATGTTAGAACAGGTCAGGTGCCGGCACCGGTGCGTTACGCGATGTTAATTTAAGGCCTGGCCGCTGCGGGTGCTTTAAGGTCAGGCGAGGTCAGCTGCACACGCTGCGTTATGACATGTTTCAGCCTCGTCCGTCACGTTGCGTCCCGCGACGTCACGGACACGGCCGGTGCGAGTGATGAGATGTCAGGTCAGGCCGAGCCCGCCTTCGCGTCCGCAGCGTTATGCTGTGTTACGGACCTGCCCAGGCGAGAGGAGGCGGCCGTCCGGCGAGCAGCCGTTGGCGGCGGCGCGCGGCGCGCTCGACAGGCTCATCGAGCGCGAGTAGGGGGGTCGCTGGCGGCCCCCCGGCTGGCGGCGCACAGGGAACACACATGCATCAGCCGGACACGACCACAGGCGAAGGCGGCGGCGACGGCAACGGCGGCGGCGGCTCCAGCGCGACACGCCAGCAGGTGAGACTCGCAGCCGAGTCAAACGGCGCCGCCAGCCAGCGGCCGCCGCCGGCTCAGCAGAGCAGCAGGGCGCGAGAAGCCGCCGCCTTTTCGGCGCGGGGCTCGGCCGCGCTGCGCCGGCGTTGCGTAACTCGGCGGCGCTCAGACGCGTGAGCAAGCCGGGCCGCCGTCACCGCCGCCGTCCCGAAAACAAGTCCGGCTCAAGAGACGGCCACACGTGGCAGCAAGCAACGCTACCAAACAGCAGGCGTAGCAGGCAGGAAAGGTGCGGCCGGCGTCTGCTGACGCGCCGACACAGCCGGAGATGAAGAGCGGACACGGCGAGAGGTGACGGTACCGTCAGAAGAAACAGTCACGGGAAAAATGGCAAAACGGAAAAAAACACATAGGAGTTTAGATTTGGGAGTATTTCATGCTTTCGCAGCGATCTGAGAAATTGTGGCATTTTAAGCTGTTACATTACAACACTTTATGACGCGAATTTCAACGAGAACGTCGAACAGCACTGGCAGCTACCGCGCAGCGCCCAGGCGACAAACATCTTCCATTCACAACGAGCGCCATACGAGCTGTGACATGCACACGGCCCACCTACCACCATCCATTCAACTATTCCAGCGAGCATACACTCATGGGAGCCCGGTGATCACCACACATTCAACTGCGCTGGGCGCAGAATGAGCGCTTCCTCATATCACCGAGCCCTTTGCATGCTGTCTACAACGGTTCACTACGCGGCTGGCAGCGAAACTAACCACCACTTATACCAGGCTGCCCAGCTAACGGGGAGGGATGCTCCTCACAATGCACTGCACCACGCAAGCAGCATGCACATCATGAGGTGGAACATGAGCCAATCCGACAATGGAAACATGCGGAGGCGGACCTGCAGAAGCAAGCAAGAGGAAATCTGGGAGCCCATACAGCCCGGCAGCCCTCGGCCTTTATCGGTCGCAAAAGTTCCGCGTACACGTCCTCAGACTCGGCGCATGGTCGCGGCATGACTTGCCCAACAGCCCTCTCACAGTCGTAGTCGGAACTAAAGCCCCACTACGGCTGGCCTATCAGGGCACTCGGGTGCGCACGCCGGAGTCCGTACAGCCAGCCCTTCGCTAGGCGAATGTGTACGTTGATCACCTGCGTTGTGAGTGAGTCACTCTTCAGGCACGGCGACCAAGGATAAATAAGTATCTAATCACGTCCAGCGCACAGGTTCCGAATAGGAAAGTGTCAAGTCAAAGGATGAAGCTACACCCCATTTATCCCTCAAGTACAGTCGAATCGGTAAAATAAGGAGGAAAACATGCGCATGGACCAGGAACATTGCGTGAGACAAAGGAGTGAATGGAACCGACGGCGCCCATGGCCCACAGCCAACGTTTGGCGGAGTAGAGTACTGTACGCTGTTCAGTGCATTAGCGAGGAACATTATTCACGTAGATAAGACAGTAGTATTAGCCTTATTCCTCGCAGAAAAACCAACCTCTAGTCTCTAGAGAACCCAACTATACCGCCATTCCCTTGTTGTTTTTTCCCTCCGAGGAATAGGGCTAATACTATTGTCTTATCTGAGCAGAGCACTGCGACCAATCAAACATGTAACGACTATTCCCCTCCCTTTTTCCACTGAACCCAGTTATTCTGCCGAGAGCATCCAGCCGTTTCGGCGGCGCCCCACGCTGATCGAGCGGCGCTGCCCGTGCGGGTCGCCCCGCCTCCGGCAGTCGCGCAGTCGGGCCACCGGCCCACCGAAGCGACCTTGATCACCGCCGGCTCCGGCCCGACAGACACCAGCAAAGCTCCGCACAGTCGCGCCGGCCACCGCACAGCACCTCAGCCCAGGGACACCGCGACCACGTGATGCAAGGCACACCACCACCGCAGCGGAAGCACCTGCGAAGCCCGCGCGCCGACCGGCGGCGACGCGTCCAAACACAAGCAGCGCCCAGCCTAGCGCCCGGCCTAGATGCACACCACTCACACCCATTGACGACTGTGATCCTCCGAAAAAATAAACAAAACAAAACAAAACGGTGTCGAGACTGACCAGCGGTCACATGAACACTGCAACGGCTTAGCCGGATCTTCCCGACACTAGCAGCAGTTCTCGCGGCTCTCTCAATGGAACCGACGACCACGAACAGTCACTTTTAGAATGACAATGCTACTTCAAACACTTTCCCGGAGCTCGCCGGCTGATACCTCCCTATCGAAACATATGGCCTGACCCAATGCCACCCACGCCCGCGGAGCCCGCGTCAAGCCAGAGCTACGCTCTCGGCTTCAGTAGCGGCCCGAACTGGGCCGGGCGGGCACGCCGCGCGAGCCCGCCCCTCTGCCTCGTTCCAGCCAGCCCTCGGGCCGGGCCCGAGCGGGCCTACCTCGTGCTCGCAGCGGTCCCAGTCGGCGGCGGCGGCGGCCACGTCGCTGGTGCTGCCGCCGTAGGGCGGCGGCGGCGTGCCCGGCGGCGTGAACAGCGGACTGTCGGCGTCGCCGGGCAGGTGGGGCGAGCGGCCGTGCCGCGGCCCCGCCCCCAGGTCACCCATCGACTCGGCGGCGCTCAGGCGGCGCGGACCTGCCGGCGTGGGAGGCGGGTGTCAGACGGGGTGGACGCTCACCGGAGGAAGGGGGCTCCGAGCAGCGGCCCTTACAACATGGACAGACGCCGCCGATACGGGTGGAGATACCGCAGACACGGCAGCGGGACGTTCGGCAAACGACGGCTGGCTCTGGGGACTCGGGCGGAGCCAGCAGACATGACGTCCCCAGCGGCGCGCAACCGACGGGGAGCGGGACAGACGGCGAGCTGCTGCAGCGCGGCGCCGGATCAGCGCCGACCCCAGGGACGTTCGGGAGTCCGGGGAGAGAGGGAGAGGGAGACGCAGAGGGAGGGGGGAGAGAGGGGGGATAGTAGAGAGGAGAGAGAGGGGAAGGAAGGGGGGGGGGTGGTGGTACGGCCAGCACCACAGACCTCAGACGGCGGGGATGGAGCGAGCGAGGTCACGGGGACACGCCGCCCGCCGGGTACAGCTCGAGCCTTCGGCACACGTCTGCTCAGGGAAAGACACACTCAACCCATTCCAGATACACAGCTCACTCAGACGGCGGACATGAGACAGATCGATACGCGGTCAACACGTGGCACTCGAGCGCAGCGACCTCTCAGCTGAAGCCCGATAACAATCGGTGCATTACGCCGCGGCGACACAGAACGGCATGGCTGTTATCGTCGGCAATCAGTCAGGAGCAATCGACGGCCGGAAATACATCTGCGTTACATTTGGTATGCGGCAAAACAACCTCAATATTCGGCGAATCACGATTACGTCCAGCATGCCTGCTGATTTTACGGCCGCGCGGTACAGCGCACACTATCGGTGTCCGCACCGCCGTCCGTGGAAGACGGGTACCCTCAGTGGTCGCCATTGAACTTCAGCCAGAGGAAGAAGGCAATCTGTCGGACTCGTCACACTGCGTCGCCAACCGCCACCAACTCAGGGACCGGAGCGGAAGTGGGGGTCCGTACGATAACTGCCGCTTCGATTCTCACGATGGGATTCGACCCGGCGCAGATAGCAGGCGTCCAGGCTCTCAGCGCTCTCCAGCGTTTAAGATATCACGAGCTTCAGTTCGGATGCGGGAAAGTGGCAGCTGTAAACGCCTTCCACTGGAATGGACAAAGAGAGGTCGCACCGATTCAGCACGAGACTTCTAGTGCGATAAAGTCGGCGAATGCTAGGCACTTTAAGGGAGGAGAGATCGCTGTCACGTTTCAGCTTCAACATGGACGCTGTGGAGGGCCAGCACACCAGCAGGATCAGTCCCAGCGGTGCGACCAGCCTTCATCACATAGCGCAGTGACGCGGCACAAATTACGCGCCGCCCTTCGCCGGCCAAGCCGCTTGCCACGACGTCATCAATCGTGCATCCCCGCGGGGGACGTGCATCACCGGCGCCGGCGCCGGCGGCGGCCCCAGCCGCTCGGGCGGCGGCGGCGGCCGGCCGTCCCGCGCCGCCCGCCGCTCGTGATCCGCCTGCAGACGGGCCGGCCTGACCACGGCCGTCCGACCGCGGCGCCGGCCCGTCCCCGGGCTCACACGGTCCGGCCGGCGCGCCCGGCCGGACGACAGCTGCGGACGGCCGCGGCGTGGGCGGTCCGCGGCCGCCCGCCGGAGGGGTGCCGCCGGTCCGATCGATGGCGCGAGGGCGCGACGCCGGCCGCCGGGACCGTCCGTGACGGCGCCGCCGGCGAATGGTCACCGACGGCAGCGTTGAGTGCCGCCGGGAGAGTAACGGAGCCGGACTGACAGCCGGACTGATCCGACACCGTCAAACAGCGCTCTGAGGCGCCCTGTTGGAGGCGCCGCGCCTCCCGACGGCCCGCCTCCGAGCCACGGTCGCACGCACCCCGGCAGTGCAGCACGCGCCGACAGGGCGTGCACACCTCAGTGCGGCGTGCCGCTGCTGGAGGCGGGACACGGCCCTGATTACCGGGCGTGCCGCACCTACCAGTAATGCCCGCAGGAATCCACCGACGGCCGGTAAACGGCTCGTGGCAGGTGGCAGTTTGAAAAAAAAAACGCGTGGTGGGTGTGGGCGGGGGGGGGGGGGGCTGAGCCAGGAGAAATGGCTACGCCCAGACCCAAAAATACGCAACGACGGATTCCGCGCCAGATTTCGCCACGCTACCTAAAGAACTGGAGTTGGGGGGAGGGCGAGCTCGAGTCCCCTCCCAACTAAGCACGAAACTACACCTCCGGCCCGTGGTCAAGCGGCCGTGTACCATGCGCCATGAGCGGTATCATCTGTGGGAGCGCAGGCAGGGACATGTGGTCAGGTCGGATTCCAGGGACCCCGCCAAGCGGTCCGAAGCGTCAGTTTGAATGACGGCACGCCGCTGCTGACGGTGGCCACGTTACCCCACCTCGGCGGCTCGGCACAGCCGCTCCTCTGTTGTGGCTTGACACCGATCTGATGGCATGGTGATTGACGGATTGTGCCTCTTTGTGAAAACAGTGTGCAGCTCCTGTCGGGCATCTTTCAACTGGTTTTAAACGTGGCAAATTCGGAGCTCCACTTTGTTCCAGCAAGGTTGCGAAAGCTGTTGTCTTCCTACACGGCTGCCATATTCCAACAAAGCAAAATAGGACACAAATACTGTACGCTCGTAGACGGGACGGGACTGCTGTGTCGTCACTGGGGCTTTACGAGGCGCTCGGCAGCGGAGGCTGCACGTCGTCGGACACTGCACGCGGCTCACCCCGTGCATGAAGGGCCGGCATCAGGGTTCATCCAAAACCGCACCTCTGCCTTCCCAGACGCTCAGTAAAACAGCTGCATTACCCGAAACTTGCCAGCCTAACAAATTAGCAAGGTCGCTCGCAACCCGTCCGCTTTGTTCTTAACATACCACTCTTAGCCTGTCCTCTTAGCGGGCATGATAGATCGATTCGCTGCAACTGAAATGACGGCCATTCATATGAACATTAAGGGAATGACTACAACGGATTTAGAAGTACTTTCGTAATGCAGCCGAAGACAAAGGAAAAACAATGTCGCTGCTGTAGATCACGAGCACCGAACAATCGCGGCGCTTATTGTGCAGGTATGCAGAAGAGCGCGCCGTAAAAAAATGGTCATAGTATTGTGAGTGGGCTCTCGCTTTGCAGGCAGCCCCACAGAGACAATGTCTGCGAGGTTGGAAAGCGCACCACCGCCGCCCAGTGGCGTCAACTTGGAAATGAAGCCTCGCCCAGGATTCAACCGCCGCTGCAGCCCATCTGCGCGCCTGACGATGGCCTCCTCACACCGCAATGGTCGCCGAATGAGTTGCAGCTCCGCCTGCGCCCCACGCCACACTGGCCCCAGCCGCGCTGCGTTGGCCCCGGCTGAACATTACGGCGAGCCCGTCACAGCCCCGCGGTCCCCGGCATTGCCGCGGAGTCCGGCGGCCGGCCGTCTGGCGACCCGGCCCTGCCGGCCGCGGTCATCGGCCCGCCGCCGCCGCCGCCGCTGGAGCCCCGGAAGGGTGGCGGCCGGCGGCCGGCGGCCGACAGGGCGGCGTGCATGCTCAGGCGGCGCCCGACACGCGGGCCGCAATTATCGATCGCCGGCTGCCGCCGCCGCCGCCGGCCCGGGCCGTAATGACGGGCCGTCATGCCAGCGCCGCCGGTGCGTCCCACCGCCCGGTACGGACGGCGATGCGCTCACGGCACCGGCCGGCCGACGGCTGCGTTAAGGGCGCGGGTCGGGGCGCCACGCCGGCCACGCGCGCCACGCAGCGCGCTGGCCCTGCGCGCTGGCCGTGCGGCCCATGTACGGCACGTGGCGTGTCGGCGCGGCAGGCGACCGGCGCAATTTTTGGGGGACGACGCACGTTTTCAGCCGCAGTGGCAGTTATTGTCAGTCGGCGCCCCCAGCGGCAGGTGCACGTGACGCGCCGGCCCCGAGTGCGCACCACCTCGCGACCGAGACATGTGTAGTGTGCGACCGATTGAGCTGTTTCCGACTGACAGGCATCCCGGCATGGCTGCAGCCCACGGCGGCAATGACACTGCACACGCGTCGCAGCGGCGCCCATTGAGCCCTGACGCCGCTCACACCGGGCCCAACCGAGCCTGACCGCGCGGCGTCGGCGGCGTACCGGCCCGGACCGGAGCCCGGTGCCGGCGTTGGCAGCGGTGTGCCGGCCACGTCGCCCCTGCCGCCGGCGACCAGTCCGTCCGCCGGCCGTCCAGTGACGTGCCGGACGATGACTTCCGAAACGCGCGGCCGCCGGCGCGACCTTCGCCGGCGCCGCGCCGCGGGCCGGGTCGGTCTGTTGCAGCGAGCGCAGCACGAGCGGCGGACTGGCGCGACGAGCGTGACGAGCGCGACGCTCCAGCGGCGCGCTCTCCCGCCCCGGCGCGCCGTGTGCCGGCCCGGCCGCCCCCTCCCCCCGCATCCGGCCGCAACAATCACCGCCGGCTGCGCTCTATGCGAGTCGGCGCCGTGGTGCCAGCGGCCGGCGGTGGCGCGGCCCGCGCTGGACCGCCCTCCGACGCCCGCTCCGGCGCGCCGTGTGCCGGCCCGGCCGCCCCCCCCCCCTCCCTCCGCACCGGCGCCGCCCCTCTGCGATGCGCCGTCGACACCGGTCAACGGTTCTGAACACCGCGCTACACACAAGGTCGGACGGCATGGCGGCGGCGGCGTGCCGTCAAACCGGCCGGCGCGGCCTTGACGGCGACACATCTCCGGCCCCAAACACGGCAGCCGGTGGCCGCCGCACACGTGCTAATGGGACGACGGACGGCGCGGGACCCGCCCGAGCCGGCGACGCGCGCACAGCGCCCAGACAGCAGCACCGCTGCCGACAGCCCGGCGCGAGGACCATCGACCGTGCTCGTGGGACCGCGCCCGGATGACGGCACGCGGCCACGTGCCGAACGCGCCGGACCGCTTAATATTGCACGGGCGCGGTTAACTGAGCGGGCACGGCACGACGCACATCCAG